AAGTACAGATGTCAGACTGGAAACCAACTGAATCAGTGACATCAATAAAACTCAAGCCAACTGATAGAACTCTGGTCTCTTCAACAAATGATAAGACCAAATATGAATGATAAGCATCGTTTAGTTTCATTTTAATAGTCCATATACCCGTTATACCTTGATAAATCGGAGCTGTCCTCAACAGACTTTCTACACTGATCCCATTTCGAATAATTCTTAAAGACCCCTCAGGTGCCATTCCACAGCATGCAAACATCTGGTCTTGTTTCTCATCATGCTTGTCAACAACTGACATATCCAAAATTGGGGCAACGTTCTGGATGGGATTTGCATATATCAGCCTTCCATTTTCTAATTTCAAGACCATTCCATCCCCCATTTCCACTAGTGCAGCCAAATATCCGCCTTCAACCCACAAAAGTGCCTTGTATGGTAGACCCTTATAAAGACAAGCAGACTGATTCACTTTCAGGCCATCGGAATCTAAATTCATTTCTATCATGAACAGTTCCCCTGTATCCATGCCGAAAATCATCCTACGGTTTCTATTATTGCCAGGTTCCCAACTCCAAGAGCACACAAGATTCTGGTTTGTATTCAGACTGCCATCATCGCTGTCAATGCACATGGGATCATAATCCCTTAGTTCCAGCAGAGCACATGCAGCAACATTAAATAGTCCTTCATCATCTGCATCTTGTACTCTATATGACTCTTCAATAAAATTTTGTTCCACATTGGGTGTAAAGTGTAAGCCTATTCTATAGACACAACAGGGGCTATAAGCGTCTCTAAGATCCATCAAGAGAGCATCACCAACCCTAAATAGAAGTGCAAATCCATAAGATTGAGGAACTTCAACAACCTCGTATGCCAGAGGTCCATCTTCTAAAAACTGAGAGAGAACATGTATAGTTTGTTCTCTGATATTCCATCCCAATAAAAGCAGTTCATTCAAAATTGCTCCTTTCCTGCAGTATAAAGTCTTCAGCACATAATAAATCTATTTCCAACTTCGATTAACTACTGAACATATAAATTTACATTCAAATGCTAAGTAATCAACAGAAATTTTGGCATTCCATCTTCTAAAAGCATGGCATCTGTACCATACCTATTAAGAAGAACCGCTAGAACAGCATTGTTGTCCTTTGTAAGGTGGCCATGGTCTTTTGAAATAAAGCACATACTCCATATGGCACCACATATACTGGCTTTCTGCATGCTTCGAGGAACCACTGAATCTCCTTCACCATCAGGAGGATAAGTTATTCTCTGAAATCACAAAATAACATTTTAAAGAATGTTAACATCAGTATGCATGAGAGTAAGAGTTATATGTTAGCAAAAAAGTGTTCCAACCTTATCAACAATATTACTGCCAGCAGAAACTGAAGTGGAGAATAAAGCCAATCGATTTTCATATGCACTAGCAGCAATAAAGCAGCCACTGGAAAAAAGAAGAGCATGGAGTAAGGAGTAGTTGAAAGAATGAACTAATATGGACAATTATGATTCTGCCGTTCCTTTTTTATTTTATTTCATTAAAAATGAAAAGGTTGCATCTACATTTCCAAGACTATCATAATCGGGATGGAGAAACAGTAATAGACCATGTATCATTTAAAAGCATGGTATAAAAACAAGGCAATGCTAGACGTTATCACGCATGATGCAGCATGGAAATAATACATTGCTGCTTACTGCAACTTAAATAGTAATAGACTATGTATTACAGTTGCTTGGTATGGTAGCATTGGTAATATAAACCAACAAAACTTCCCGATAAGGAAATGGCATTTTACAATAAATTGCAACCAATAAACAGCCACCTTCACAATGCTACCATACCAAGCAACTGCAGCAAAAGTTACAGAGAAGCCATGCGAGTAAAGATTAAGATACTGAATATCTGTCGAATATAGAGATCAAACCCCAAGTCCTCGACAGCAGAAGAATAAGAAGACAGTCAAAGTTGAGACAAAAACTTGACCAAAGCCAATGAAAGAAAGGATGCAAGAATATGAAATCAGATGCAGAAAAGAAACTAACAACTTCAACTTAAACAAATGGCGTATGAGGAAAAGAACATTAAAGTTTCCATTCGCAAAAGCTACAAACCTGGAATCTGAGGCCAGCATTCTCCCTACCTGATTCCTTGAATTTCCAGGATTGGAAAGTTGAATGTGTGTCACAGGAAGAAACCTATACCAACAGGAAGGGAATTAAGATTGAACCTGGTTTCTGGAAATAAACTCAATGAAATTGCAGTAAATCCAAGAGTATAATTTTATAACAGAGTCAAAAAAAGTATAAATAAAAATAATAATAATAATAAAATCAAAGGTAACCTGTGCATTTCATTGCAAAATGTGAGAAATGAAAGCTTTCCAGAATCGGAAATTACAATAAGAAGATCCTTGCCCAGCATCTGAAAGAAATGGCACATGTTACTATAGTTTCCATACATAAAATATCTCCAATGAGACCAATGCCATGAATACTATTATTTTCCATGAGAAGGTTTTGACTTCAATAAGTCCATTATATTGAATATGTATCAATAATTCACCCTAAAGTACTCAAATATGGGAGTTCTTATTTTATCGGTTAAATTAGTGAACCACCAGAACTGATCTTTGTAAATCTCTCAATTCCTACATCAATAAAGCCTAACCTGTGTATACGATGGGCGAAACCTCTCATTCCATGGTAGGATGGCCATATCCTTGATAGTGCCAAATACAGGCTGCTCACATACAGATTGTACAACCCCATCTTCGCCTATTACCACCAACTCTATGGATGTCTCCTGATTAAAGTTTCACCAAGATACTGCCGTTAGATTCATCCAATGTTAAAGATATTTTTAGTAATCTCAATAATGATAATTAAATTGTCGTTAGAAGCTTCGGAGGAGAAACAACTCTTCTGTTTTCTCAAAGTTGCCAAAGTAGTTTCAACCCCAATAGTATGGTAGAATATGTAGATCAAACTACTTACTTTACAAGGCATGGTACTGAATATACAATATGAAAGGTTTTAATAAATGAAGACGAGTCTTCAGAATTGAGATGATGATAAAAATGTCGCATATAATCCAGCAGGTCATGGACGCATCCATAGCACTCCCCAGTGCACAGTTGTTTCTTCCATTAAATAAACACGAACTCTGGTAAAAACACTCTGAAGAAAGATCAACCTCATGTGTACCGACCTCTTAACATACCGATGATTATAATAAGAAGCGTTACCATACAGATTAACGATGAAATATACACTCTGAACTCCCTCCATTGCAGAGAACAATTCGCAGGATGCCAAAGCTCCACATTTTTACTCCATTATAAAAATTCATGTCCTGTAAACGATAAAACTACATCCTAACATTGAAATACACACACCAACCAACCAACTGCTCTCTCGGACAGAGAAATGCCTCTGGTTTCTGAAGAAACGAACATCACTCGTCTTTTACTACTTGAATAAGAGGGAAAAAAAACACGACGTGAACGTATTCCAGAAACCAAGTAATTACGAGAGGAAACGAGCTTCAATCCAATTGAAGTACAGAACAGCTGATTGCTACGTCTAATCAGTAGGTTCTCTAAGCCACTAAACCAATGCCTACCAATCAAGCATATCGAAACACTTCACGAAGGAGGAGTTCATAGAAAAAGAAAATAAATAAAATACACAACAACAAACCTTGCCAAAGACGACATCGAGAGAGCTCGGAGAGCGTATGTGACCGTAAAGAACCTGAAGAACGACACTGCCTCTGAGAACGCACTTGGCCAAGTAATATGTGGAACTAGAAGAGGAAGACGAAGATCGCGATTTCGCAGACGAACATTCCTCCTCTGAAACCGCCATCAGCTAGCACATTGAAACTCGAACACTAGGGTTATTGTCGATTCAGAAACAGAGATAACAGAATCATCAAGAACAGAACAAATACGAGCTACCGCAACAAAGAAGAGTGTTGTTGAGAGAGAGAGAGATTTGCAGAGATGTTTTGGGGAAGTGGAGAGAAAAGGAGAAGAGAATATGATTGTTCCATCTGGAAAATTATGGGAGGGGCGAGTGTCCACGGGCCCGCATCATTACAGCTCTGCCTCAAATCTTTTGTTTTTTGTGTTCATTTGATTTAATTGTTAAATTAAAAACGATCAGAGATGATATTTTAATTGATAAAATAATATAATGACCATATGACGAAATTATATTGAATATAGATTTTTTGTGTTGTAGAATTAAACCAAGCATCGATAATTGACCAAACAAAGTATTCATTTAAAGGGTATCATTGTCTTTATCGTTATTGCTGCATCCCACAGCCTGGCGCAATGGTGCATTTCAAATTATGCATTGTGAGAGACCCATTACACCGCCAAAGAAGCAACTATGTTACTTTTTTCAATCGCATGGTCATTCTCTCCTACGATCGAGAACTCAATTCTCAATAATACGATTGTACAATCTATAATTTGACTAATTAATTACAATCACATTAACAAAATATTTGAGTGAGTTCAATCATATAAGATTATGACGATCAAACTCAATTGTTCCATGGTAAATTTATCTAATCTATATAACTTTTATAAAATAACAAACTCAACTTTACCTAGCCATAAAATGTTGAGGGTTGTTGGGAAGGAGTCCCATATTAGCTAATTTAGAAAAGGATTATGAAGTTATAAGCAAGAAATAGTATCTCTATTGGCATGAAGCCTTTTGAAGAAGTCCAAAACGAAGCCAGGAGAGCTTACACTTTAAAGTGGACAATATCATACCATTATGGAGATTTGTAATTCCTAACATGTCCTAAAGTCAGTCGAAAATATAGTCAAAAGTGACTAAGATGTCGAACACCGTATTAGATAAATCTATATACAATGAATATGAGGATCTGGAGTTTGAAACATTCAGCATGGACAAGATCTGTACTTGCGGAATTCAAGACTCTCATCAAAGAGCCCCAAAGAACAAAAAGGGGGGAAAGGTGATGATACAACATGATTCTATAAATGAAAAGGTATGGTCATATATACAAGATAACAAATTGAACTCATCCTTGCTTTCTAAATTTCAAGCGCCCACAAAAAGTATCATAAAATGAATTGTTTAGAATGTTGTGCTAGATCAGAGGAAATATGATATACTCAGCATAGAAGAGATTCCATATAAACCGATAATATGTTGAAATTGCTTCCTGCAAAACAAACTAAATTAATCATGATCCTCCAAAAACTTGCCTCAATTGCTCACTATTTAAAGTGAAGCACAGATATTATTTGGTATCTAGAACTGGAACTTACCTTGGAATAATTTGCTTTCTCCAACAGCCATGACTGAGATTCAAAAGAAACAAGATTTAAGTAAGATTTGAGTCAATACATGGTAATTAGGTGTTCTCAATGTGAACATATGAAGTCGAATCAAACAAAGTCTAGTAAAATAGGCACAAGATTTCACTTTCATTTGAGGTTTGTGGGAGATGAAAAGCAAGAAATTAACCTGGAAAACGAGGGACAATGCCAAGATTGCATGAACAGGGATCATTATGGTACGGTTAAAAGCCTGTAAAGATGAAATTTGGAAAATTTACTTCATGGGATATGTAAAAGTAGTTATATTTAAAACAAAATGCATACCTGAGGCATGAAGATTGCAGCAGCTATAGAAGCAACGTAATTTAACAGCAGAAGTCCGGAACCAAGAAATGAAATATTTCTAACTCCAAGCTTTGTTGCTAAGGTTGTTATCTGAAACCTACAATACGATGCTCATTCAGATTACATGATAATTGCACTTCACAAAGGAAGAAAACAATGCCTGAGAAGCATAAATAGAGGAAATAGTAAAGAGGTAAGGTTTTTCGAGGAAACAAGATCTCTTTAGCACCATGGAAGTAGTTGGAGAATCTTACTTGCGATCTCCCTCCACATCTGGAAGATCTTTTGTTATGGCAATCACTAAAGCGAACATGGTCACAAATGTGGTAATGAAAGCCACAGGTGAGCTGCAAAGAATTTAATGTCCACACATTAAAATCTAAGAAATTTTTTGGGTGCAAGTGCAAGCAACTAAAGCTTTAAAAAACAAAAAATTATTTTTATCCCTATACTTTTAACTTTTGTTCCATTTTAATCTTAGTACTTTCATATGTCTAAATTTTCAAATGTCTAAATTTAGTTCAGATACTTAAAATTTTGTTCCATTTTTAGTCTCCGTCCTTGTTAGTTTATTGTTGGTTTTTTCAAAATAAAATTAGTTTGTTTAGCATTCCATTTTGGATAAGAACAGTTTCTTCAATGGTATGAAATTACAAAAGAGGGGCAATGCCCCTATTCAATGGAGTTACATAAAACCTCTCCCATTGGTAAAGACTGAATTGTAGCTATGGTGATGAAAGAGAGGATAATTTACACAACGATATAACCCAAAGAACTATACATCATAACTACTTTTGATAAAAATGAATTTTAAAGGGCTAAATTTAAAATTTGTTAGAGTATAAGGACTAAATTTAAGATTTATTGCTAGAGACTAAATTTAAGATTTAAAGTAGAAAGCTAAATTTAGGTAATCGAAAGTACAGAGACTAAAACTGAATGGAACTCAAAATATAAAGGCCAATGATATTTTAACCAAATAAAAACCTGACACGAACGTCATGATGCAATTATGCGGAATATCATGGTTTTTTTTTCAAAGTTTTGATTTCACTAATAAGCAACTGCCAGTAATACTTTCATCAAAAGCCAATCTAACACATGAGCCCAGACCAACCTCTGCTCAGGCACTAGTTGCAGCTAATCTATTCTCAAGGTAAATGTGGTTTTTGTTAAGCATTCACAATTATTGTGTTCAAACTTCGGTAGAATAATTAATATTAGTAGGGAGGCACATATCTGAACCCTGATCCAATCAAATTCAAATGCATTATGAATTATTAATGGTGACTAACCTCCACTCAAATGCAAGTCCAAGAGCAGCTCTTGTGGCATAATAGACGCCAAAGTTAAGAAGAAAACCTCGTACCTGCAAAATTAAGTTCACTATTTATTTTATCAACCATGTTGTCAACAAAATTAAGTGCAAGCAAGCACGCCATACTCTTACAACTTTCTATTAAACTTTTCCAACTTTTAAATAGTCAGCACCTTCTCAATAATTGTATTAAGACTATAAGACATGAATTGAAGTTTAAATTTTCAAGGAAAGGGAAATGGATGTACAGTGGCAATTATAAGAAATGCTGCAACGGGAAATCTCTTCATTCTAAACGGAGGAACAGAGTAGATAGTCCCAAGGAAAAGACCGAGACTGTAGAGAGAAGTGATAAATGGCCCAAAGTTCAACCCAACAATTAACAGACCAGCAACTGCAAAAAATATCACCAAGAACCATGCAGATTTGACTGAAAGATCTCCTGCCGCTATTGGTAAATATGGTTTGTTGACTCTGCAAGTCAAACAAAAAAGGAGAAATTTATTTGTAAGAATTGCATTGTCGTCTTAATATTTGTGATATGAACTAATATGCATTAACTGTTTACTATGTGGATCGACAGACCTCTACTCACCAAACTACCCATGAATTTTAAATGGATAAAAGAAATGTCGATCAGGAAAAATCTCAAGAAAAATGTTGAAAGTTAGAAGAAATCAAGCGAGTTCACGGCTGTTTATCCTTAAATCAGAACAAAGATCAAATCTATTGGATTTATATTTGTAAGAAATACTAATCACATATTGAGTTGTTGATTCTAGTTGCTAACCAGTTATCATGCTTAATGATCCAATATTTAGAAGCCAAGCAAGAATGGCATCTGAGTATGAAAGCAACCAAATTGAAAAACAGAAACATACAGATATACATACTTGTCAATTCCAATATCATAGATCTGATTGATACCAACTATATAACCATTTCCACATATTAAAGCAAAAACACCAGACAAAGCCTTGAACAGCAAGGACCACTTTATGAGGTGTGAATTCTCAATCAATGCTCTACTCATCAAGGAACTGTTAAAATGAATCAAAATTATAATAGTTAGGGAAATATTAGATGAACCCAGAAGGAGTCTCAGTAAAACAGTGTGTATTCTGATCCATTGACATAGCTACTTACACAGATCCTAAAGCTGTTCCACGTATTGTATGGGGCCTTAAAAACCTCCAGCAAGCATCTCTAAATGCTGAAATATTGTTCACTAGGGGATCAGGTCCTGCAGCTCCAACTTGAGTGCAGGCCTGGCAGCACCCACTATACAACATCAATGGCATGGACACATATAGTCTGAGAAGAATTTTGAATTACCGAAATATGTCGGTATAAATAGAACAGCAGTAAAATGTAAAGAGGATATGCTCCATTTGAACATACATACCATAAAATAGGCTAAATATATGTTTTAATCTATAATGTTTGGGTATTTTGCAATTTGGCTCCTATTGTTCAAGAATTTTCTATCTAGTCCTTTAAGTATTAATATTTTCAATTTAGTCCCTCAAAATTGGTGACTGTTCAAATTAGTTACACACTATACAGTAAGTGTATTGACATTTTTGCAATTAGTTTTATTTCACTTATTTAATTATTTGTTTATTTGTTCGTTGGGACTTGGGAGATTTAAACTAATCGTTCAAGTAGTTCAGAAAATCCTAAATTTTTGCCCCCACGCTTGCAGTTCGCTTCGGGAGGTCCGCCGCTAATCCTCATAGTTAGCTCTTAAATCCATTGAAACATCTCTTTCTCGTTCGCAACACAATGTAAGTGCAACAATTGGATTTAATTCATTCACAGACTGCTTATTCATCAATCATAACAAGAGAAACTCGAAAATCACATGTCGCAATTCGCAAATGGAAACAGTAATCACTGAGAAAACTAAACACACCTGGATGGAAGTTCGTCTCCACGATTTAGTCAAAGCCTTTCTCGAGCAACCGCGCGGCCATTTCGACTGCAGATGTAGGGCTAAATTCGGGAGCAAACATGAAGGTGCAATTGCTGCAGTCCTATTTAGAAGCTTCCTGTGAGACAGAGAAGGCTTGAGAGTGGAATTTACAGCCGAAGTTCGTAGAGAAGCGGATTGAAATACGGAATGCTCCATGGGGAGAACGAGATGAATTGATGCGGAAGAACGAAGATGAAGTGAAGGATCTGCAGTCAGATTCGCATTTGGGTCGGACCCGAGGCTCAGACCGGAGAGAGATGGAAAAGGAAGATAACATTCATTGTAGGGGCAAAATTGCTCCGAGCCTCTAGTTTGCAAATGAGTCACTTTGTTTTAGTAGCTTCAAAGTGACTTCACTTTTTAACTTAAAGAAGATTTTTAGTTTTATTGGTAAAGAAGGAGAGTTATTGGGTGAGTCCTAGAGTGGAGATCCTGAGTTTATAGGTGAGTAATATTATCTCCATTGTAATGAGGTTTTTTTGTGCCAAAAGCAAATCTATTAGACTTTATGTTCAAAGTGAATAATATCATTCCATTATAGAGTCTTGTTCCTCTAACAGGGTCTGCAATCCCAATCGTGATTTTCCTACTCTTAAACGAAAAAGTCCTTCCCTTTTTGGTCGGTTGTGGGCAAAGAAGGATTTGAATCCCCGGCATTGTGGTTCGTAACGTGCACCCGAACCTCTAAAAATAACTTTTTCTCTCTCTAGCCATTTGCCATTTCAGAGTTAAGAAAATATGAAAGCTTCTCTCCCTCTAACCCTTTGGTGAACTGTGAATAGCCGTAACTATAATGGAATCAAAAAATTAGTAGATTTGTTCCCAAAATATAACCTTTAATAATTGTAGGGGCAAAATTGATTCGTGTATGTATGTGTATGTATCATCGTTAATCTCGCAATTTTAAAATTCTTATGTTAAAGAAAGATTTTGACACCCTTTTAAGAAGAAATATTTCAAGGTTCTCTCAAACTGAAGTGGGATCTCGTAATTATAAAAATTGGGTTATTGCTATTTGACCCGAGCCATACAGGACAATTGATTAAGCTTGAGTCAAAAAGTAAACACGAATGATTTAAAACAAATAACGTTTACTTTTTTTAAATTAAAAGTCACGTACAATACATATCTTGAGTCAACAAAATTTGTCACTTGAGCTAATATTGTTGTGACAATAAACACCGACTAGATCCTATCGATACAAGTTCATAGAAAACACGACACTCTGTCCTTACCTACACCGACATCTAAAAGGAGTGGTAAAAAGCAAAATCTCTCCCTCTCTCTCACTAAATTGAGAAGTATTTAGGGAGATGGTGTCTCTATATAAATGGGAAGATCAAATATTCAGCATAGAACAGCTTCCACAGGAACATGTAGAAGTTTGAAGCTGCTTCCTGCACAACATGCATAAAGAGATTTATAAAAAATAAAAATAAATTTAAAATGACTTTTTTTTTAATAGAATAAAATTTGTTAATTAAATGTAAAAAATATATTACCTTCGTGTATTTTGCTCGGTCTAATACTCTGGTCTGACAAAACAAAATAACACCAAAATTATTAGATTAATAGTTAAAAAATTTAAATTTGGATATAAAATACAATTATAACTTCATCATATACATAGTAAGCAAAGTGTATAAGGAGAAAGAAAAACCTGAAAAACAAGACTTATTGCCATGGCTGCATGGGTGGGTATCAATATACTTCGCTTGAAAGCCTGCAATTAAAATTGGAAAAGTTCAAAAAATAAAATTAAAATTAAAAAAGATAAATAAAATGGATTTGTGAACCTGAGGCATCAAAATTGCAGCCAAAATGGCAGCAACGTAGTTCAGAATAAGGATCCCTGAACCAAGAAACGCCAACCTTCTTACTCCAAGCTTTGTAGCAAAAGTTGTTATCTTATATCTGCAAAAAATCAATAATAATAACAATAAAATAACCTGGTCGTTATAGGTTAAAGTTGTTTTATGTATTAAATCATTAACTCGTTAATAGTAATCTTAGTGTGAGAAATAAGAACAAATGTAATAACTTACTTTCGATCGCCTTCTATGTCAGAAAGATCTTTGGTAAGGGCAATGACCAAACCAAAAAGTGTAACGAACGTGGTGATGAAGGCCACGGGTGAGCTGCATTAGACGAAAAGTTGATCAAAAGCTTCACGAAGACTTTGATTGTTATTGTTATTATTATTACCTCCATTGGAACGGGAGTCCAAGAACTGATCTCGACGCATAATATACACCAAAATTCACAAGAAAGCCTCTCACCTGAATAAAAAAAAAAAAAGGGTGAAGATTATTTGTTACCCATTTTAGAAATTAGCGAGGGAGTCGACCTAAACACGAGCTAACTCGAGTCAGCCTAACCAAACGACCCGAATCCTACGTCGACCCTAACCGGGCGTAAGAGCAATTGGTTAAGAAGAAAAGAAGGAACATACCAATGCAATGCAGAGGAAAGCAGCAATGGGGAATCTCTTCAATCTAAAAGGAGGGACAGTGTAAAGAGTTCCAAGCAAAAGAGCGAAACAATAGAGAGAATTGAGGAATGGGCCTGAATTAAACGTGGCTAATGACAGCCCAACCGTCAAAAACGACGTCGTTAGAAACCATGCTTGTTTCTTTGTCATATTCCCTGCCGCTATGGGCAAAAATGGCTTGTTTACTCTGAAAACAAAAAATAATCATTAAATAAATAATCTTGATTTTATTGAAATAAATAGATAGAGAGGGAATATACATGTCAATATCGACGTCATAAATCTGATTGATACCGACAATATAACTATTGCCACATAACAACTCCACAAGACCGCAAATTGCTCTTGTTACTATCGACCACTTCATTAGCTTTGGATTTTCAATCCACACTCTACCAGCCAACGAGCTGTATAATCATATTTTAAAATTAAAAAAAATAATAACATATAAGAAAGACGGTATTGTAAAATGAAAAATAAAACCAAACGGCTCCAAATTTACCATGAAGCCACGAGAGTTCCATAGAAGGTGTGAGGCCTGAGAAAAGTCCATAACGCCCGTGCAAATTCCCAAACTTGTTGTGACGTTGCTTCTTCACCACCACCATATTCCTTGGCTATTGCTTGGGTGCTCACGTCCTAACAGTATTCCAACACAACCAAATTACTTTATTACCCTTTACTTACTACCTTCAATTTTAATATATAAATATTCGCTCAATTGAAACTGACCCAACTCTCGATCATTTTTTCAACTTTTCAGTCCACATCAAGTCTTTTTTTTCAAATATACTGTAGCATATTTATTACTTTATTAAAGCTAATTTTGTTCTCTCAAATTATTTAAAGCTAAATATTTCAATTATTAGAGGTGAAGGGAAGCAATGTGACACCCACATATTTCTTGAATTCTAACCATTATATATAAAATTAAAATAATTTAAATATATCTTATAAACTGCAATAAAAGAAAATTATGAATGAATCCTAAATGGAGAGAAATGAAGCCAAAAAGAGAAGAAAAAAGAAGCTAAATATACAGACCCGAACAAGTGGAGAACAATAAGAACGAGGGATCTGGAAGCTTCTAATAATTGGACCAAAAGAACCTTGAGAAGGCAACTGAAAGGGTCGAAAGGTGAGGGGTTTAAAAGGTAATTTTGTTTTACCAAACGACGACGTATCAAACCTCTGAGAGCCAGTGGCAGTGGCCGCCATTGTTAACAAAGAAGAAGCCATGGCTATTTTTCTCAGAGCTTGTTGTTGAAGAATGAAGAGAAGTGAAATGGGTATTTATAGACCTGCCCGTGGCTCAATCTAATCAAGACTTATAAAGTCTGGTCTCGCCCATTTACTTTTAAAACGAAGAGATGGCTCTCCCTTTTTTTTTTTTTCAATTTAATTATAATTTTTTAAAAATAAAATTAGAATTAGGAAGGCTATCGGAATTAAAAAGTAATTTTTTAAAATGTATAAAATAAAATATACACGTGGCCTTGGAAAATTCATAATGAAAGTGGGAGGAAAGTAGTCAAATAAAGTGGGAGAATTTATTTCAATCTGACTACCATCAATTATTGTTGACTTTGACTTCAAAGTTCCACTACCAATACCAGTAAGCAACGCAAAACCACACAAGTCCAAAGCTTGACTTGAGGGGCGTATCTATATCGTGACTGGACTCCTTAAACGCTGTCGTTTAATGTGTAATTTGTGAGAATTTTTAAGAATTCGATTTGTTAGATTACTAATATTTCTTCTCCTTAACACTTTTCTCCCTATATCCACTGAATATATATCTATTTATTATTATTTTTTAAAAAATCTCCGACTATATTCTATTTATACTTTTGTCGATAAGAAAATAAGAGTTTTTGTGAAATGAATATCGTTTTCGAGTTATTATCATAGTTGAACTTTTTTTCCGTTAAAGTCAATGTGTGTTTTTTTTTTAGTATCGTTATGGATGCAAATAGATAACCTTTAACAATGAAATTTGTAATAAAAAAAAACAAAATTCTAACTAATATTTGTCAGTATTTAAAAACTCATCCATACACTAATAAAAAAATATGATTATTAATTAAAGAACGAGGATTATTATGAAACCATATTTTTTAAAAATAAAAATATATAAACTAAAAAACTTTATTCATAAATATTTGATTTTTAGTTTTACAAAATTTTAGTTAAAAAAAAAAAAGAAAAAAAAAAAAGAAATGCGAACTAACCGGTTAGTGGGAAACTGGATGATGTCGGTCCAATTGATCGAACCGGAAACGTAGGTTCGGTCCTGGTTCAGGACCCAGTCGTGAAATTCGAACCAATGTTAACCGCCTTCCGAAACAAAAATTTTGAAAGAAACGCAAAACCCAAAGCGGGGATTATTGCGCGCTCTCTCCCTCTCTCTCTCTTCCCCGCATCAGTCTTCTTCTTCTTCTCCCTCGCACTTCATCTATTTCTGTCTCCCTCCTCGAGCTTGGATTTCAAGGTATGATCAGTGGGATCTCTTAACATACTCTCCCCTACTTAGGATGATTTTTCCATCGGTATTCTCCGTTGAATTACTCAATACAGTTTCTGTTCGAATTTGACATTGTTATTTATTTTGATACCTGTAGAGCTTTCGATCTTGTACGATTACATAATGTGCGCTCAAGTGGTTAGTATTTTCAACACTGATTATGAAAAGAGAAATCCAAATGCTTTTCCTCATCTTCTTCCTCGATCCTCCGATTTTTTCATTTCATCCCTTGCATAAACTGAGGTTACTGGCAGGGGCGGATCCCGAAATTTATCTTTCAGTTTTGAAAATTTAGGGTACCAATTT